GGATGTGAAATTAAAATAAAATATGGATTAAAATATAAAACTAATGAAAAAGAAATTAAAATAACGTAGTTTTTGACAATAAACTAATTAAGAAGAACCTAGGGTATATAGTTTTACGTTTACACTTCTCTATGTTCAATTTTAGATTAATTTTAATTCTATTTTTCTTATGATTGTCAACCGCTCATATTACCCAATGATCATGTAATATTAATAGTCTTTTTTCTAAACTATTATCCCCAATAGTCATGTCAGGTAAAAGGAAGAGAAAGCATAAAGAGCATATGAATTATTAATTTAATAACGATTGGAAGAGAATAATTAAGCTTGGTCCACCTAATCCTTTGTCATGTTTTACCCTATAGATCCATTAATTGTATAATCATTTATGATATGTTTAAGAATTGTCAAGTCCAACATATAATATAGCACAGTAGGATAAACACTAATCAAGAACTGAAACATGAAATTATCATAAATCATAAAAATCTCAGAGTCACGCAATGAATCCACCATAGTGCTATCTATAGATTTAGCTAGACATAATATAAAAGAGAACAAAAATAATAATAAACAAAATGTGCATGTGAAGAGGATGTGTTAGAGAGGTGTGAGGTATAAGAGCCATGAAAGAGATGCCTAAGTTGTTACACATGAGGTTCCTTTAATTGGGTTTCAAAACTCTAATATTTTTTTAAAGTTAGACGTCTCGCAAATAAGCACGGGCATGCAAGACCGTAAGCATGGTTATGCATGTAACTTGAAGTACCCTTGTGCTGACTACCAGGGTATAAGCGTGCTACCCATGGCAAAACCCTATTTTCTATCTAATTTGGGCTCAAAATGCACTAAAAAATTTAATTATGTCTTATATTAATTTACATAAAAATCATAGAAATTAGTATAAAAATTTGATAAAATAATAGTCATGCATAAATATATAGCCTGTAAAAGTATGTCAAAATACAGACTTATCAGTATAGTTTTAAAACATCAAACAATAAAATTATGTAAGTATAAAATGATAGGTAAACTTTTTGATTTGTAGAAGTTTATTGCACCAAATCACTTGTATGTTATGTTTATCCGTCTGAGGTTTGTTTCATAATGTAAAAGACATTAAATTTGATGCATTTAAACTCATGGCGTTAATCCAAAGAAATTTTTTTTAAAATATTTTGAAATATATAAGAAATTGTTAGATATGTGTTACATGTCTCAAAAGTTTTATGGAATTTAATTTAGTTTAATTAATTTTTATTTTATTTTATTATGTATTTTATTTAAAGTTTGTTGAGATAAAATTTTAAGAAATATTTTAATTTATTAGATATTCATTTATTGTAATAATTTATTACTCTTTTTTAATAACTATCAATAACAAAATAATAGATGATCAACCCCTTCTCTCTCTTGCTATATTTTTCTTTCTTCCGGTGTCCTTCTTTTTTTCCATTTTTTCTTACGTTCTTATTTAATAATTAAATAAATAATTATTATACTTTTACGATTCATAAATTTGAATTTATCCTAAAGAAATTTATTAAATTGTGAGGACCGGTTCACACTACAAATAGATTTTTTTATGCTCATACCAATTATTTCAATATTACTTTTGTGATTACAAATTAATTGTATAGTATCTCTGAGAAGAACCATTTAAGATTATATGTTTGGTGTTGGGGAAAGTCATTTCAAACATGCAAATTCGAATAACAACCCCTCTAATCACTGCAATTTTCAGTGCTTTGGATAACAAAACACTGTAAAATACTTCTACGAGATGGTTTTATTGAAGACGTCACTCATTCTCTCTATAGAGAAAGTATTATTATATACTCTATTTCAAATAACACTATTAGGGAAGACACTAATATTTATATTAATTTTTTTTTTATCAAGAAATAGATTGTTTTACTTGTATAACACATAAACATGGTAATTCCATTTTTTTTCAATTAAAGAAAAATGGCTGAGTAGACTAAAGCATCAGATTGCTAAACCCGGGTCAGAACTTTTTCGACAAGAAATTTTGTTGCATCTAACTTTCATAAATTTTGTATCTAACCAAACTCCAACGAATCTTCCATCTTTTGTATCTAACTAAATCGATCTCCGTTTTATGATATATGACATGTATTTAATAGAATTATGTAAATGATTATTGTAAAATTTTAAATCTTTGGTAAGGTTTCAGTTGAAATTATAACGAATGGTCTTCCTGCTGCGTTAGAGAACCAAGTGTTAATAATTTATCAAAAGCATTGATGTTTATATATTTATAAAATATAAATTTGGAGTATTTAAACTAATATATCAATAAATACAATTACGTTATATGTGAAATTGAGAAACTAAGCTTTGGACAAGAAAATGGAGAAAAAAATTAGGAAAAGAGTTTAAATATATGATTAAATAGATACATGCCTGAAAATGATAATTGCATGTTTTTTCTATGATTTATGGAACTTGTGTTACCATTTTTTCTCATCCTTTCGGCAAGCATAAAAGTTAGTCTAAAATCAACACTTTCCCTGTCGCCCTTGAATTATAACTCTTGAGTGAATTGGGATCTGGATTCAGTGCAGTTCCCGTCAAATTTTTTTACGTATTTTTATATTTTCGCTTAAACAAAAAATATACGATGCAGTTCCCGCATCTATACTAGATCCGGGTCCAGTGAATTGTATCCTTTATTTTTAACTCAACTTCTAAATCAAGTTTCTAAAAGGTGGTTGTAAATCAAATTATTTTGCGTGGAAGTTTTGAATAATCTAACTAAAAGAGATATTGAATTTCTTCAAATTAGACTTGATAGTGTAATCTTGAAGGAAAAAACTTCACTATATTAGTAAGGGTCTGTTTGTGACGAAAAAGAATCGATTTCTGCAAAATTGAAAATTATTTCTTGCCATCCAACGTTTATCGTAGATATTATTCTTAGAAAATTTTTAACAATAGTATCTTACTTTAGTTATCCTCCACGGGTTGAGATATAGGTCTTGGACTACTTATTGAAAAATACTAAAATAATTTATTGACCAATTCAAATAGATTATCTTATAAAAATCATATATCCATAAGTTGCTTACTTTTAAAAAAACAAAAAGACTCCAACGTCCTTTCTACAAAGTTGTATTTATAAGAAACTCATTCTTTTTTCACGGTTAAAATTTTATCAATGAGTGAGTTATTAATATTTAACATGTTAGTTTCAATAAAATTAAATTATATTGAAGATTTGAGCATAAAGTGAACCAAATTCACGTATAGATAAAACGTTGAAGATTATTTCCTTACAATTTATTATTGGATAAATAACACCTAGAACTATCGAAGTTAATCATCTCAATTCATTCAAGTTGACACACTACGAGTTGAATTATAAAATAAATCCATTTAACCCAAACCACTTTTATTATATGTTAAAAAATAATATTAACTCATCACACAATAATTTCCCACTTTATTCATTTATATTTTATATTAAATTAAGTCCGTTCAGCTAAAAAACGAAACCACAACATTATTGTCCTTATCACAACACGTGACCCAAAATCGTGAACGGTAGATGGAGTGCATTTGAAAAAAAAAATTTATACTGCACGTGTATTTATAAATTTAAATAAACTTTCAAATAAAAAATAATTTTCTTTATAATTAATAATGGGTGTTCTAGCAAATGCGACAAACTTAAAGAGATGTGATATTATAAATAAAAATAAGGTAAAAATTTGCAAATAAATTTTTTTTTTTAACCAATTGCCCTTACTTATTCATTGAACTTAGGATGTGAGATCATGGATGAAGAAATTTATTAAGAAATTTGCCGTATTTTTTTTACTTATTCTCTTAATAATTTTTTATTATTTATAAAATAAGTATTAAATGAAAGGTATATGAATTTATTATAAATTGATAAATGATTTGTTAGGATTAATAATTACATATTATAAATTTGTATTATATTTTAAAATTATTAATAATATTATATGATTAAATTAATGATATATTTATATTTAATATATTTTTTTATTTTACATAATTAATGAGCAAATCATTTTGTAATATAAATTTCATAATCAATAAAGGCATACAAAATTAAAATTAACATATTTAAAAATAGGTATTTATTTTTTATAATTAATATAAAGGTATTAATAAATAAATTCAGAGGTAGTATTTTCTATTTATTAATTAAATAAATTATAAAAATGTAAAAGTATCTATATTTATTTATTTTAATGATATATAATAACACGTGATAAAAATAACAAATAATGTTTGTTTTAATAAAAATTATAACATTAAATGTTAATTATGTCAACTCTTATAATATGTTATAATTTTTAATAAAAGTTTATTGCATATAAAAAATTTATTATGTGTTTTTTAAAATCTATTAAAAAATCATTCTTTTATTACTTAAAGAGAAACAGAGTATTTTTTATATATATGTTATTTAAAAATTATTTATATCAAAATATGAAATTTTAAGGAGAATTATAGAAATACGTGAATTGACGATATTTGAAATAAATTATTTATTTTTATAAAATTTAAAAAATATTATTTGAAAACTTCTGAAACTAATTAATTATATTAAAAAAATAGTTAAAGTTTCATATTTCTTTATTTTTCTCCAAAATTTTATATTTTAGTATATAATATTTTTAAATCTCATATTTAAATTAATTTTTTAAGAAACAAACGTATTTTATTATTTTACTATAAATTTATTATTTTTATCATGCCAACTAAGATTGATGTCGTCAATAAAAATTAAATTTATAAATCACAAAAATACAAATTGAAATCTAACTGTCAACGTAAAGAACTGATCAATAAACACTTTTTATCAACCACTCTTTGACTCTTGAGGCTACCCTGATAAGATGCGAAGATTCATCTCATCTTTGTTTATTTTGTAACAAACATGTTTTTATTATTGGAGTTGAAGAGCCCCTTGTAATAAGCTTGAATACAATGGCACGAAGTTCTTAATTTGAGTGGCGAAGAAAATCAACTACGACTTTTATGAACTTCTTGGCTTTTTCTGTTTGAATATCATACATGTAATAAACATGATCCTCTCCTTCCTCTTCAAACAGTTGCACTTGCCCTTTCCATCCACTCTCCTTCACAGCCTCATAATATAACACTGCTCTGTCTCTAAAGTGCAGATGATCCTTACCAGCCACAGTAACAAGCATCTTAGAACACCCAATGGAAGCCAAGCTAGGAGCCCCAAGAGCCAATGGATTAATCATGGGGTTATCCAATCCACCAGGCGCATCTGGGTATGCAAACTTCCAAATCAAAGACTGAGGAATCTCTTCAAACCCAGTAACAGGTTCAGACCCAATTGGTTTCGCACCCCAGAAGTAAGGGTGGTTCAGATAAGCCCCATAAACTTTGACACCACCTGGTAAAGCTTCAACCCCAGCACGCATTGCAACATTATGAACAATATTGGCACCACTGCTATCACCCCCAGTGAAAATTTTGCTGAAATCACCATGATTTATGAGCCATGGGTCGCTATTGGTGGGGTTTGGGGTGGCGTGTGAAGCAACCCAACTGAGACCAGCCCAACAATCATGATAAGCTGTGGGGAGAAAATGCTCTGGAGCTTTTCTGTGTTCTATGGAAACAATTATAAGACTTGCTTGAGAAGCTATCAGGTTGCAGTATTTGGTGTGGTGCGCTGCAAATGCTGATTCATAGCAGAAGGCCCCACCATGAAAGTAGACCAAAATGGGTAATTTTTTGTTGTGATGATTTGATTGGGATAGTTTTGGAAGAAAGAGTCGAGCAAAGAGTAAAGGGTTTTTAGAGAAGAGGATGTCTTTGGATGAGACACCAGTTTCTGGGTCTTCTGGAAATGGTGGAGTTCTTGGGAGGTTTCCTGGACGTTCGATGGAGCCATCATTGTAGACATATATGTAAGAGGGAACCTGTAAGACTATGTGTTTGGTGGGTGTGGAAGCCATTTTCAAACCACCAAAGCTATGAATGAACTCTTATGAGTATGTGCAAATTTCCTTCTCCATATCTTTCCCATTTATATGCCAAATGGTAAGAGAGTCACACCGTCTTGGTCTAACTCTTTAAAGTTAAATTATATTTTATTACTTTTTTATGTCTCTCGTAGTAATATATCACTTTCTCTTATTTAAACAACTTTTATAGATTTTGAATTTTTTGATATTTTATTTTTAAAATATACTTTAAATTCCTTTTTTTTTTAATTTTTTAACTTAAGCAATAATTTCTTAAATAAAAAAAAACCGTTCTTAATTAAAAATGATAGTTTATCGATCTTCAATAGTAAATAGAAATAAGCAACTGTTACTTATATAAAAATTACTTAAGCAATTTCTATTACAGATTCTTTAAAAATACTATTTACGCCAAAATATTGAAAAACTGTATCTGTTATGTTAAAAAACTAAAAATATAATTTTATATTTTAAAATAATTTAATAGAACCTGACAACTTTTTTATTACAAAATTTAAATAATTAAGACACTCATTAATAGAGTTCAAATCTTACATTATAAATATGAATCTTATTTATAGCATATTAAATGCATCTTATAGACTTTTTTTTATTTTTTTAATTTATAAATTATTATTAAAATAATATTTTAACTATATCGGCAAGTTTATAACTTCCAGCCATGAAATTAGTTGAAAGTTGTGAAATTTCAGCCAAAAAAAATTATAATTGTATAAGTAGTTAATAAAATCAAATTATTTAATAAATTAATTATAGAATTGACTGATTTATATTTATATTAAATAACTTAAAATAACATATAATGTTATATTTATATAATATTAAAATTAGATATACTTTATTTTAATATATTTTATTAATAAAATAATATTATTAATTTAAATAATAACTTAAATTTATTTTTAAAATAATTAATTTTAATATATTATATCAATAAATATTTTATGATTGATTTAAATAATTTATTTTTGTACAATAAAATATATTATTAATTATTAATAATCAAAAGATAAAAAAATGAAAAAGACTATCATAAATAAAACAAAATAATAATAAAATCAACGTATTGAATTTTAATAATGTGAATATTAAGTTATCTTTTTTAAAAAGATAAAAAATAAAAATGTAATAAAAAATTTTGTAGCTAACTTTTGAAAGCTAAAAACTACTTTAAATAACTTTTAAAAATTTAGCTTTCAAAATTACAACTTCTTTCATTTTATATTTACTAAAAAATTCTATTATCATATTGACTTAATCAATAAAATATAAATTATCTTTACTGAGCATAACTTTAGTATTCTCAAGTCATTAGTCATGAAATTAACAAAAATAAATACGTTAAAACACATTAAAAGTTATAAAAGTAAATTATTTTTGTATTTGTTTAATAAAATATTTGTAACTTTTATTCTTGAACTACTCCCCTAGGGTCTTCGTATTTTTCTTTTATCAATAAAACTAATTTTTTAATTAAAAATTTCAAACACATCATATATTTTCAACCATTTAATAGATAAAATTAAAAAACAAAATATGATAATTTTTTATTTTATAATATTTTTTTTATATTTATTTAATTAATAAGTTATGATAACTCTATTATTAATTTTTTCTGGTGTAATTTTTGTTAAAATTATACTAAAATGCATTAAAAATTAAAAAAATTTTAGTTTTTAGTATTTTTTTTTAATTCCGAACTAATACTTTAGGGTCTTGATTATTATTTTTCTTTTACCAATTAAAATAATTTATTTTTAATTAAAAGTTTCAAACACTTTTTTTTTCTTTTGCCTATTTAGTAAATAGGATAAGAAAGTATGATAAGATAATTTATCTTCTTTTTTTTTTTTATGTTTGTTTAACCAATGAGGTATAATAACTTTACCCTAAAAAATTGGCTGATTTATTTTTTAAAATTTTTTTAAAAAATAAATTCTTAAAATAATATTTTTAAAAAAATATATTACCTGTCTAGGGTCTTTTTTGTCACGTCAGCAGCTTAGACCACAATTTAAATAAAATATATATATATATATATATTTTTAAAATCGTATTTCATCTTCAGCTGAGGTGAAACTATCAGATTGCACCACGTGTCATCATTTGGTGAGTTTCGTCTGCTGTAGAGACAAAACTCACATAAGTGTGCCATGTGTCATATTCTAGTCAATTTACAAAACTAGTTTAAAAAAAAAAGAAATATATTCTAATATTTAATTAAAATATATTAAAAATAAAAAATCATAATATTTAATTTAAAAATAAATTATTAAATATATAAATTTTAATTAACTTAATTAATAATTACAAATATATATTAAAAAAAATATAGTGTTAAGATTTTGTTAACTTTAGTTTAAATATCTATAAATAAAAATATTATAAAAAGTACATATTTATCATATAAATTATTAAGATTTTATCATATCCTACCTAAAGTTATGAAACTAATTTAAAAAAAATGTAACTCAAACTTTAGAGCGATAATTACTTTTAAATTTATAATTTTGTTAGCATGTTTTTTTTTAGTGTCATATGGTATACACAATGTAATTTTAATATATATTTTTAATATATTTGTATTTACTAATTAACTTAATTCAAAATTATATAATTTTTTTATTCTTAAATATTATTTTTTATTTTTAATAAATTTTAATTAAATATTAAAATATAAATTTTTTTTAACCAGTTTCGCAAATTGATTTGGACATGACACACAGCGTAGTTTGTGAGTTTCGTCTCTCTAGTAAACGAAACTCACCAAATGATGACACATAACGCAATATGAGCGGCTGAAGACGAAATGTGATTTAAAAAATTAAAAAATATATATTTCGTCAGGATAATAGATGAAATAGCCATTGACATGGCAAGAAAAACTCCAGACAGAGAATATGTTTTTTAAAAAATATTATTTTAAGAATTTATTTTTAAAAAATATAAAAAACAAATCAGCTTAAAAAATTATATTTGTGATCGTTTAATTGTTTTGTATATTATTATTAATAAAATAATATTTTGTAAATATTTTATTTTTAATTAAATATGCAACATATTTATACATTTATGTTTCTCTCTTAACGCCTCATGGAAATTTTATATGTAATACTTTAATTTAATTTCTAAATAATAAATTTCACAAAAACAAAGATATTAAAATTTTTGATTTAAATAAAATTCTCATCACATGGTTTCACAAAATATTTCAAAATGAAAAAAAGGTTACAAGTTTATATCAATTAACTGGTACAGGATCATTTCAAATACAACATTTTCAAAATAATATCCTAAGCCTTATAGCAGTTCCATCCACCCATTCACTAAACCCGGTGCTGATTGTCTTGATTACCTGAAAAATAAATGTAAAGGTGAGTACTCTACACTACCAAACACACAAACAAGCATAGAGTCTCACCTTGGACATAATTTACATTATTTCTAATACACTTCACACAATATAATCACAAACAGCATTATCATGTATTTCATTTCCATTTATAACTGATGTACTCATGGCACCAAAACATTCATACACGTGCGCGCTCATTGCACGCAGCGATGTACTCACTATGATTACAGATTCTCACCATAAATGGTCGCCGGTTACCCTCGCCTCACGGATACCACATGGGCAGTCATGGGTCGCTCAGCAAAAGTAGTGATCAGAGGTCTAATCAGGAAGATAGTGTGTGGTCTGTGGTGCACCCACGCTCACTGTTAGTGTCACCACCACTCTCTCTTTCCCAAGGTATTTCTACCGTCTTCATCTTCCACACCTCTAGTGTATCGCTGAACCATTCACAACTTCATTACAACGGCATTCAACATGCCCCATTCATACACACATTTCAACCACACACATAATGTTTATGCTTGTATACGGCACATAGCCCACGTTCATTTACAATACACGGCACATAGTCTACATTCATTTACATCACACGGCAGTTAGGCCCACATTCAAATCATATTATACGGCAGAGAGACCCATTTTCATTTACAATACTCAGCACATATGTCCCTATTCCGTTACGCTACATTTTCCACATTTGCCTACATTTATCATGCCATCCATACCCATTTCCAACTACTTACATTATTCAATCATCAATCAATGATACAATCACACACATTTTAATCAAGGGTACATTAACCCAGTCACAACCAACTCACATTACATTCAAACACAATAATTTTCATCAACACACTCATTCTTACTCTCTATCTCAATCACATTACAAAAACATAGCAAATAAACAGATTTTCAAGCAAATGAGATAGGATAGAGTCACCCCTTACCTTGAATTAAAGACCCACACGCAAATTGACCCAAGGAAGTGCTCCCCACATGGATTTTGTCCTAATTACACGGAAGAATTCCATGAGAACCCAAGGAAATCAAGAAAACAGGGAAAGGGAGTGAAAAACCAAAACCCTAACCATTTAAAACTCACCTCCAAGCATTTCCAACACGAATCCAACCTTCAATCTAGCTTCTGAACAGCTTTGGAGGCAATTTAATTGATGGAATAGGGTTGTGGGTCGAGAGAATCGAAGAAATTTCGAAGGGAAGGTGAGAAAATAACCTTTCTCGAACCCTAACCCCTTTTAAATCCTCTCTGGTCGCGACACTCCCCTCGCTGCAGCGACACCCTCCCTCGCTACAGCGAAAAACTCAGACAAAACTGCATTCTGGTTTCTACAGAATCTCATTACAGCGAGACCCTCTTGCTACAGCGAGACTGCATCCTAAACTGTGGCTTTAAGGTTATAGCGAGAGACCTCTCATTACAACGACAAGACGACAGTTTCATCCTTCTCTCCCAGTGCCCCCTCTCTATAGCGAGAAAGGCATAGTTTCGTGCCTCACGCCCAAAGCTCTCTCGCTATAGCGAAAATACCCTGCAATAGCATCCACACTTAGCCTGCATACACACACCCACACATATATGTATATATATATT